AATGATAATCGAACTTGTGCGCACCTTTCCGGTCCACAACCTACCTTTTCCTTTCCTGGACCACCAGCAGATGTTCCTCCAATCTCAAAACCATAACTCTGCACTTGGCCACCAGGCGGCGGTGGATACATTGGTGGAGGATAGGGCCCAGTAGTACCAGGCATGGCATACCGCTGAGGCACATCTGGAATTGCATATGGAGACACAGACTGAGGTCCCGGCATGTAAGGTTGCACATACACTGGTTGAGTCCCATATGGCGGACCCCGTGACCTCTGTCCCAGCAACAGTTCCCAACAACACAAATGCACGTCCACGTTAGAAGATCATGCATCTGGCCACCTGCACATCCAGGTCCATTCTGACCAAGAGCAATTTCTCGCATTTCCAGACCTCGTTAGCAAGACTAAAAAGGGGAAAATAAATCACAAAGGAACACAGTTTAATAAACACAAATCTCACATTAATTCTAAGCTACCGAGTGCCAGGAGGACCTGGACACTTACGGCCCAACACTTCGCCCAGATGTCCAGGTCCCCAGTTGTCTGGGATCCCTCGCACACGGGCAGGTGGGTGGGCGGGCAGGTGGCGTGCGCGTGCACATGGGTGGGTGGGTGGGTGGGTGGGTGGGCGGGTGGGCGGGTGCACGAGCATCCATTTTGACAAATGCGGGCGGGCGCACAGGCAAATAAAAAACAACTGAGTTACCAGCGCGGCCGTGCAGGATCGGGCCAGGGGGAAGAATTTTTATTTTTTTTAAAAGACTTTTTTTTATAAGTATTTCTTAGTTTGGAATGTTTGTGCATGCAAAATGGATTACAAATCCGAGCGTACTTCTGGAATACATGTTTGAAGGTTCAAGAGGCGCCTTGGGGTTACAAACAGGGTTTAGAGGGGTCTAAACTTCTCTAAAGTGGTTACTTTTTATTCATGTTTATTCTAGGCTGCCACAGTCGCCCGGGACCACTTGCCCGGCCAGGTCAACAAAAAAAAAAAGAAGAAAAAACACATTTTTTTTAGTTTCAATTTGGTAAAGAATTTCATTCTGACCCTGCATCAAACTGCCTTGGGCACTGGGCCCTGATAAAACTACCGTTTTAATAACAATAATAATAATAAATAAAAAAAGGCAAAAAAAAAGTTGTTTAGTTCAGGGTCACCAGCCCGTACGTACGGAGGTCCCTGGGCAGACCTCCGTACGTACGGGCGTTCGGAGTCCCGTACGGGGTCCAAACCCGACGGCGTTCGGCCCCCGCCAAAAATTATTTTGGGGCCTAAAAATAATAATTTTTTTCTGAATTTTTGTTTGTGAGTTCTCTATGACGCGAGGTACATGCCTGTCAATTTTCAAGTCATTTGGCTAAAAGCCAAATAAGAATTAAAATCGCCAAAGATGGCGGTGTCAAAACGTGCTCGCCCACGTATTTTTTCACTTTTTACTTTTTGTTTTCACTTTAGTTCGGG